CTACCTCCAGAATGTTTTTTTCAATCCCCAAAAAGAAACCCTATCTACTAGCAATCATCCGCCATTCTTTCTTCTCCCCAACTGCTACCGACTGTAGCCAAACCTAGGTGTCTGTGGCAGATTGCTTCAGGACCGCTCACCGATGCTGAAGTCTGAGGGTCTTCAAATCCCTTCTTAAAAATGGTATAGTATTTGCATATGCTCCATGCACTGTATACTTTAAGTCATCTCTAGGTTACCTATTTCACATACAGCATACGCGTCATGTAAATAGAAGTTTTACTGTGCTGTTAAGGGATAATGACAAGAAAAATGTCTGTATGTGTTCAGGAAAAGTAGGATTTTTTTAAAGATTTTTCTCATTGAGTTCATTGGTACTTTTTAGGTATACAGTACAATTACATTCATCATCAGGATCTTGTACCTTTACATGATGTATCTTGGTTCTTATTTTTTACCCCATTCCCCAGCCCTCTCTTCACCCCCTCCACCCTTCCCTATTTACAAAGACTCTGTTTTCATTTTATTCCTTTTCTCATGTTTTTTCTTTTTCCTTCTTACCTTCCCCCTGCCCCTCTCACTTCCCCTACTCCTTTAGACCTCTTTTTTCTATTTCACATTTTAATGTGCTTTTTTTTTGTTGTTACCGGGAATCGAACTTGGGTCCTTCAGCTTGTGAGGCAGGTGGGCGGGTGGGAAGAACCACTGAGCTAAATCCCCGGCCCCTTAATGTGCTTTTAACCAATGGCGATCCAATCTAGGAATGCAAAACATGTAGATGCTCAGGGCCCACTGTTCTGATCTCTTTCCTGTCTCTACACATTTGTCTATTCTTGGATATTTCCTATAAAAGGAATCATACAATATGTAATCTTTGGGAACTGGCTTCTTTCACTTGGCGCACTATTCATGGTTTATCCCTGTTTTAGCATGTAGCAATACATAATTCCTTCTTTTTTCCCCCGAGAAGTTTATTGGCACATTTCCGGTGTGCGTTATGAGCACCTCCATCACTGGGAATCCGTACCTGTACATGGTGTAGCTCGGTTCCTGTCTCCCCACATTCCCCGTCCCTCCCTTCCACCCCTCCACCCCTTCCTTTTTACAAAAACTTTGTTTCAACTTTTGCCTTCTTTTCTGATATTTTTTCTTTCTCTTCTTTCTCTTCCTCACCCCCTCCCCCTTCCCCTTTGGACATTTTCTTCCTATTTTACTTTTTCTATTATACATTTTGGTTCTCATTTACACTTTCAATTTGTCACACCAGAGAAACAATGCGATATTTACACGTGTCCTATTTATTTCACTTGAGTATGCCTCAATGTGCATCCATTTAGCTATAAATGTCTCTAGTTTCTCATTCTTTGTGTATGAGTAGTACTCTATTTTATTTAAAAAAGAAATCTTCTTTATCCAGTCACCAGTTGATGGGCATTTGGTCTGTTTCCAAGTTTTAGCTATTACAAACTGTGCCGCTATAAACATGGTGCACATATATCACTGTGGTATGATTCTTTTAATTCTTTTGGGAAAATCCCCAGCAAAGGGATGGCTGGGTCAAATGGAACCTTTAGTTTTAGTTCTTTAAGGCATCTCCATACTGATTTCCATAGTGATTACACCAGTCTGCACTCCCACCACAGCTCCACCAGCATTGGTTATTGGTTGAATTCTTGATAGCAGCCATTCTTTCTGGGGTGAGGTGGAATCTTAGTGTTGTTTTTATCTGCATCTCTCAAATGACCAGTGATGTGGAACGTTTTTTCATGTGTTTATTTACTATTTCTACTTCTTTATCTGAGAAATGTCTGTTCATTCCAGACGCCCGATTTTGGACTGGGTCTTTAAATTTGGGAGGTCCAAATAAGTCATGATCAAAATGAATAAGAGTTCGGGATGACACCTGCCCATTTAAGTCCTGGCGTTATGTGGGTGACAAGCAGCGGCTGTTAAGTTGGTAGGTGAGAGGTCCACATAAATTGCCAAAATTTTTACCATACAAACAGGAAAAATTATATTAATGTTTTTCCAAGATGAGTATTAAGCATTCCTAGGTTATCAATTTGTTTCCCAATTCAGTCTGGGCTACCACAAAAACAAAGCACAGGGACTTTTTCTTTCATATCCCAGTCCGTGCTACCCTCTAATTTCTTGAGATAGACGGCCATCAGTTTTCACTTTTTATTTGATTTGACCACGTGTATTGACAGCCAAAATGTTCTTCTAAGAATGGCTTGAGCTTCATTCTTCACCTTTCAACATGTGGCTTCTCATTATCATTCAGTTCAAGATGCTTTCTAATTTTCATTGCTTTCTTTCTTGCCTATTGGGCCATCTGGAAGCCTGTTTTAACCATATGGAGTTCGTCTAATTATCTTTTTGTTGTTGCATTCTTCTCTGGAGTTTCAGGTTTTTGAACTCTACTGAGACTTTATACCTAGTTTGTGCTCACCTTTTATACATATTCCATGTGCGCGTGAAAAGGATGTGGATTAAATAATTCTTTGGTGCTGTTTAATATGTTAATTATTAATTGTCTCATTTTATTAATTGTATTGTTCAAATTTTCTATATTCTATTTTGGCATGGAGGGAGACAGTTTTGGGTATTAACAAATGAGAGAGCTCTGTGTAAATCTCTCACTAGGATTGAAATTTTGTATATTTTTCTTTTTGGTTTTGTCAGTTTTCTTCTCTATTTACTTTGAAGTTGATGTTTAAGATTCTCACCTTTAGAATTGTATCTTTCTGATGAATTAAACCTTACGGAAATATCTTCCTTAGATCTGATGCTGCATATTGCTAAAGTCTACTTTCTTTATGTTCCCACAGCTACACCAGCTTTCTTTGGTTGATCCTCACGCGGTATATTTTTTCCAACTTGCTTACAACTTACCTAACTAAATCCTATGTTTAAATGTGACTCCTGGACACAGAACACAATGGTGCTTTGTAAAAAAACCAGTCTGAAGCTGAAGGTACAGCTCAGGGGTAGAGCTTCTGGGAAGACCCGGTTCTAACCCCAGAACCACAAAGAAGAAAGATCCATTCTAAGAATTTTTCTCATTTGATTAGTGCGCCCCGCTCATTTGTATTTAATGTGTGCTTTCTACTTGTCCTGCTTGCTCCATTTTCTTTATTCTTTTTGCCAACTTTCGGATTATTATTTATTATTCAATTCCCTTTGTGTTATCGTGGAAGGCAGCTATTCTCACCGCTATACCATCAAGGCTCTATCATCAAGTTAATTTGGATGGTATACTGTATTTCAACTTTGCTTTTAAAGTTTTCCTGGCATTTCAAAATGCATTGTGACTTTTCAAAACTTCGTGTTTCTATTTTTTTCCTTAGAACACAATGACCTCGTTTACCCTCTTTTCAATCATGTCACTGTTGTTGTGAGGTTTAATTCTATATATGTTTTAAATACCGTAAGATATTATTCTCAACACTGTTTTATAAAGTTGCTATCAGATTTACCGCTACAATTTCCATTTCAATTGCTCTCCATTCCTTCACACAACAGAGAGTCTGGCTGTGGACATCATTTGTGGGAGGGCCAGGGGGCCAGGGCTGAGTACCGCTCAGCCATGGTATATTTGAGATCATGTTGGGTTTTTTTGCGGGGTGGGGGGGCGCCTGGAGAAACCGCTTGACAGTTTTAAAGGTGTGCTTAGAAAAGATTCTGTAGGGTTTTTCTGATCTGCAAATTTTTGTTGGGAATGGACCTCTCTTCTGTTTTCTCCCGCTTCTGCTCTGAGGCTGACAGTCTCCTTGTCCATATTTTGTCTATTATTCATTAGCTGCTTTCAGAACTCTCTCTTCGCCTTTTGATGCACTTTCACTATGATGCACCCAGGTTTGCACTTTTATTCAGCCCTCCTGGTGGGACCAAAAGCAGAGTAAGGTACTGAGCTGCATAGGGCTCAGAATTGTGAAAGTTCTGATGTTCACGGCCTTGCAAGTGCAAGCTCACCCGGCCCGACTCCCTGGAGTTCAATGGACTTGCTAAAGTGATGCTCTGAAAACTTCTCCATCAGTATCTTTCAGTTTCTATCTCTCCATCGAGATCTATCTCCATCTCCTCCCCCAGATCCCCACTATGTGGCTTTTACATCTGTTTTTTTGTTTTTTTGTTTGTTTGTTTCTGTGCTTCGCTACTGAGGCTGCCCCCTCTCCTCCTCCCTACCTCCTCCTCTTCATCTGCTTTTCTGGGGCTGGGAATGGAATCCAGGGCTTCACACAAGTGCTCCCTCTACCACTGAGCCCTGGTCCTAGTCCTTACTACTGTTTCTGTGCCTTTCCACCTTTTCTTTTTCTGTTCTTTGTTCTTGACATTGTCTTCCAGTTCACTAACCTCAGTGACTTTCAATCTGCTGATTGAGCTCTTTGTGTCAGTTACTGTCTTTCTTTCTTTTCTATTTCTTTCTTTCTTTCTCTCTATGGCCCTCTGTCTCTCCCTCTTCTTCCTCACCCCTCCTTTCTCCTTCTGCTCCTCTTTTTCCTCCTCTGTAATTCTTTTCCTTCTCCTTCTCCGGCTCCTGGTTTCTCTCTCATGGCTCTGGCTCTCTCTCTCTCTCTCTCTCTCACTATTTTCTTTCCCGGGTCTAGGTATGTATGTAGTTCAGGTTAGCCTGGTACTTGTGATGCTTCTGCCTCAGCCTCTCAACCTCCCAAGTGCTGGAATTATAGACATGTACCACTACCACACACAGCTCCAGTTAGGGTATTTTTCAACTCTAAAATTTTAGTTTTATTCTGCCACATCCCTTTTTTGGTATGATATCATAAATATTAAAAGGAAAATGAAGAAAAAAAACCCAGAAACCGAGGAGCTGGAGGGGATAGGGAGGGATGGGAGGGACAAAAAAGAATTAGGAAGTGCTCCGTACATATACAACCCCCCACGGTAAACGTAATCATTATGTACTGCAGCCATGCACCAAAAACAGTTCATCTCTGCACAGACTCTGCCTTGCCCTCCTCCCTGCTACCACGTACGCATAGCGCCCACAGTCACAGCCCTTGTGAGTCTCCTCCCGTTGCCTGTTCCTTCTGGTGCCACGTCCTGCCTCCTCCTGTGCTGGCTTGCCGTGCACTGTGTACAGAACCACACGGCTAAACCACTACACAAACAGTTTTGTGGCCCAGGCAATGTTATCTTCCTCCAGAGGAAGGTTCTGCAGGAACTTGGGGAGGAACCGTTTGGACCACGTTTTTCGGACTGAAGAGAATGAGGCTGTTTCAAGCCTGGCTGGGTATCTCTGTTATCTCTTCTGGACCAGTTAAGAACCCCAGGATGAAGGTTGTCCTAAATACTAGGCTCACCTCTCCAGACTTTCATCTTCTCCTGCTAATTCTTGGTAATTTTTCACTACCTTGTCAGTTCTCTGATACTTTCGGTTAAATTTTCAAACTATTTTGTCCAGCTTTTCTAGTTATCATCTGCAGAAAGCTTTATTTCAAATTATCTGGTATTCCATTATCAGAAGCAGAAATCCCCTTTGCCTTGGCACGGTCCCCTTAATACCGACTGTGGAATTTTCCGGATATATACTTTAAACGGCTGCATAGTATTCCACTGAGAGGCTGAGCCACAGTTTATTATCCTGCTTTATCTGCAGCTGGAAATTTTGGTGGTCTGCCTCTCCATTGCTCATGGTTTCCCATTTCACACAGGAGTTTCCTTAGTTTAAGCAGAAAAGGATTGCTTTTTATTTTCTTCTACTAAGGATGAAACCCAGGGCCTGGCATAACCTAGCAAGTGCTTTCCTGCTGAGCTATGCCCCAGCCCTTGGGGGATTTTTTTTTTTTTTTTT